CCCTCGCCCTGCTGCTCACGCTGCTGGGGATGCCCCCAGGACACGGGGGGTCTCTGGGCTGCCAGCGCACGCTGCCGGCTCATGAGGACCCCCAAGTCCTTCTCCTCAGGGCTGCTCTCCAGCCATTCTCCTCCCAGCCTGTGTCTGTGTTGGGGTTGCCCCCACCCACCTGCAGGACCTTGCCCTTGCCCTTGTTGGACTCCACGAGGTTCACACGGTCCCACCTCTCCACCCTGCCCAGGTCCCTCTGGATGGCCAAAACCCAGAATGACTTCAGAGGAGAATAATGCAAAGAAGAAGGGTGGTAAATGAGAAGCTGAAGAGAAACGTGCTTTGTCAGGAATGACAAAAGCCCCTGGGTACCCCAAAGTGGTGTTTTCTAAACAGAGGGTTGGCTGAGCACCAGTTGCCACAACACGAAACACAATAGCTCAGCTGTAACCGTTACAGACCATCCAGACTGGAAACCAGCCTCCCAGCTACCCCACACCTCCGGGCAGTTTGCCCACTGGCTGATGGCCAGCAGATGACTGGGTGCTTCCATCCCTGGCTCCTGCTTTAGCCTCTTCACGGTAACGCTGATGTGAAGGCAAGATGTACCTGCTCTGTGCATCGTCTCGGACAGCATCTCAACGCCAGCCGCTCTGCTCCGAGAAAGGAGCAGCAGCACCGTGGCCGCCTCGTTCTCCCAGGGGCACAGTTCTGCCCTCGTTTCCACGCCACGTGTGGCTCTCCCGGAGAACATGCAGAGCTGCCGGGACAACTCACCAGGCGCATGACTCTGTTGATGGGAATCATTCCAGGTTGGATGTTGCCACCGGGCTTCAGAGCTTCCTGCACATCCTTGGGAATAAGGAAGGACTCGCTGTACCAGATCTCAAACTCTGCAAAGCAAAAGCACGGGGGCAATTAATGGGGCTGTAATGACCGAAGGGACAAGGGCGGGTTGCTCCTGGCTCCCTGCCCATGGGTCAGCCGGGACCTCAGTGCTCTTAAACTCTCAGATGAGACCTCAGAACTCCAAGCTCCTGTATTTCAAACGAGGACAGTTAGTTACAAAGCACAGGGCACCGTCAGCTGGACCGGCTGTGCTGCCGCCTGTCCTTGCTGCCTGCGGGGTGGCTGGGACGTGGCGGGTGGCCCTGGCCGCGAGATGGCAGTGCTCCTGCATCCCGGGGACACCCAGCCACCAGCCGCGGAGCTAGCCATTTGGAGCGGTCAGCACATTTGGGGCTCAGGTTTCCATTCCAAATGCGAAAGCACAGCCGCTTTCCATCCCATAATAGCCAGTGCTAACACACAGCAGG